ATACATAATATTTTAAAAGAAATAATGCAGCATAAATAAATTTTAAATAAAAAATAAAATGGGGGTGTGGAAGAAGGAAGAAAGGAAGGAAGGAAGGGAGGAAGGAAGGAAGGGAAGGAAGGACGGAAAAAAGCATGGTCCATGTCCTAAAGAGGCTCACATCCTAGCAGAGGAAAGAGCCATCTAAAAAATAAGTATTAAATACAACATGGTAACCGTGACAATAGAAGCTTTTTAAAACTCTAAGGAAGTACACAGTACTAAGATTAACAGCAATGGCATGTAAATTTCAGATCCCCAAGAGTCTTTGCACTTAAAACCGAGTCTTACCCTTTATAAGTGTCAATATAGCATGACTTCCCCTGGGACTCTTTTCAGAACCCCAAAGTCTGGGTTCCACGGCCCTCCTCTGTGTACTCACGGGACCTGGTACTTCCCCCAGAAACATATCACATCACACATGTACAGGGAGCCCTTGGTTTACTGTTGTATTTCGGTGCCTGGCTCACTGGCTGGCACATCAATAGTTGCTGAAAAAACAAATGAGTTGAAGCAACTGACAAAGGATTAATCTCCAAAATATACAAGCAGCTCATGCAGCTCAATATCAAAAAAACAAACAACCCAAGCCAAAAATGGGCAGAAGACCTAAACAGACAATTCTCCAAAGAAGATATATAGATTGCCAACAAACACATGAAAGGATGCTCAACATCACTAATCATTCATTACAGAAATGCAAATCAGAACTAAAATGAGGTATCACCTCACACCAGTCAGAATGGCCATCACCAAAAAATCTACAAACAATAAATGCTGGAGAGGGTGTGGAGAAAAGGGAACCCTCTTGCACTGTTGGTGGGGATGTAAATTGATACAGCCACTGTGGAGAACAGTATGGAGGTTCCTTAAAAATCTAAAAATAGAAATAACATATGACCCAGCAATCCCACTACTGGGCATATACCCTGAGGAAACCATAATTCAAAAAGAATCATGTACCACAATGTTCATTGCAGCTCTATTTACAATAGCCAGGACAGGGAAGCAACCTAAGTGTCCATCGACAGATGAATGGATAAAGAAGATGTGGCACATATATACAATGGAATATTACTCAGCCATAAAAAGAAATGAAATTGAGTTATTTGTAGTGAGGTGGATGGACCTAGAGTCTGTCATACAGAGTGAAGTAAGTCAGAAAGAGAAAAGCAAATACCGTATGCTAACACATATATATGGAATCTAAAAGAAAAAAAAAAGGTTCTGAAGAACCTAGGGGCAGGACAGGAGTAAAGACGTAGATGTAGAGAATGGACTTGAGGACACGGGGAGAGGAAGGGTAAACTGGGACGAAGTGAGAGAGTGGCACAGACATATATACACTACTAAGTGTAAAATAGCTAGCTAGTGGGAAGCAGCTGCATAGCACAGGGAGATCAGCTCGGTGCTTTGTGACCACCTAGAGGGGTGGGATAGGGAGAGTGGGAGGGAGAGGTAAGAGGGAGGAGATACTGGGACATATGTATGCGTATAGCTGATTCACTTTGTTATACTGCAGCAACTAACACAACAATGTAAAGCAATTACACTCCAATAAAGATGTTAAAAAACAAAACAAATGAGTAGCATTACTGGGTTCAGGTCTGTTAAGTGGTGGCTGAGCCTGAAGAGAAAAGGAAGGGTGGAAACGCTAAGCTGGAGAATCCTATCCAAGACTCAAGAATGCCCCAGCTTTGCACAGACAAAACCCCTTCATTGTCCCTGATAAGCTGGGCTCGGCAGTGTAGAAGACCACAGTACCGCCCGCAGATCCTGAACCACTGCTCTCTATGCACTAATGTTTCTCAGCTTGGATCCTTCGCTTCTTCCACAAACGCTAAGGGGAAAAACATTGGATGTCAGGCAGTAACCCAGTATCAGGTTCAGGCAGAGCCTCCATCTCTCAAGAACAGTCAGGCCTGCCAGTCGCCTGGGCAGAAATGAGATCTTCCTGGCAGAGGCTTGCAGAGCCTGCATATCTCAGCCACAGGGGTGAGCACAAGAGGCCAAAGATGCGGGAAGATCCAGTTTCTCTGAATAATGTGTGCTGCCACACAAGACAAGGGGACATCCTTCCCTCTGAAACTGCCACAAACTCCCTCAGATGCAAAAGGACTAGGCAAATAGAACTGTCAACTGAGACCTCAGAATGCTCCTCAGATGTCAACAAAAGGATGTGATCCCCAGCTCATGACAGCAGCACCAAGCACCTAACAAACACTTGACAAATTGTGCACTGTCAGAGCATGTGCCTGTCTGATTAGTAACAATGGAAAAGGAAGTGGGTCATTATTTTGGTCACGGACCAGTATCATACAGATAAAAGGTCACCGTGCTAGTGGGGATATTGCTATGGATTTAATTTTTGCCTTGAAACATTGCAACAGACGGCTTATTCTAGCTCGATTATCTGAGTGATATTGCAACAGAAATCGTGTTTAGCAGAATATATTTAGCTCTATGTTTGGACATACAGTGAGTCCCAAGTTCCCAGCCTCTAGAGACCTCATTTTAAATTGCATCCTACAAATGTCCTCCCCTTTTTTTTCCATTCAAGCAAATTGGTATAGCCCTTGTTCTACTTGCCACATTCTTTCCAGGGCAAACAGATGGAAGGAAGAGAACATGCCAGAAAGAAGAAATGGAAACTGAAAATGACATTACAATGAAAATAAACCTGCAAAATATTATCTGGGTCAACTCTTCATACGTTTTAAAATCAGCACCAGCAGGCTCTGCACATATGGCATTGGTTTTATATTTTTTTGGTTCAGATGTCACACAGGATTAGTGCAAAAGGAAAAATCCCAGCATGGAACCTATTTTTATACAGATTAATCAATCATTTCGCATCTCTTCCTTTCCCATCATTCCCCAAACTTTCAACTTAATGAAACTGCTCTCATTCAAAATATGTTATTTACTGCACTCTGAACGGAAATCCTTTCAGGAAAGGAAGTGGGCTTAGAATTTGAACCTAGGTTTTTAAATGTCACATTTTTAATTCAAGTTATAAATATTAACTAGACTTATGCTATGGCCCAGCCCCTTTTAGCTTATAGCCATTGTGGAATCCTACATATCCATCAGTGGCAGCAAAACAAATTGGCAAACATTTTATTATGTAGATATAGATATAGCCATTTAACGAAAACAGAAAGCCACACATTTGAAAAGAGAAACCTACTGCATATTTCACGTTTTGTTCTGTTGTCTACATTTTCAAGTACACTGAATGTCATAATTCCCATCGGAAAACCAAGCACACAGTTAGGTTCTTAGTAAGTATTTGCTAGGAAATTTGATAGGCTGAATGGCATCAAACCAAAGAATTGTTCAAGTTATTCGCTACAGCCTCCCTTAACTACAAGGCATTGTGAAAACGATGATGATGCTGCTTACAGTAATCATAATACAACAGCAGTGACTGTTTAGTGTACGTCATGTGCCACTGATGATGTCATTGAATTTTCAAAGCAGCCTTGTGTCATATGTACTATTATTATTCCATTATACAGATTAGGAAACAGAGAGGAAATTCCGATATTTTGAGGTTGAAAAAAATCCCATACAATGCTGGTTTTCAGAGATGGGCAGGAGAATTGATCACAGACACATTGAAAAAGGGAAATGGAGCCTTATAATACTCATGAGGTGAAAAACTTTGGAGAAAGTGTCATCGACATTGTTTCCAGGTCTCCAAAACCATGATCACTACAGAGTTCATCATGCACCTTTATTTGTCTGCTGCCCCTTTGATGGGTGGAAATTATATTTATAAAATATGAAGGCAATGACCTAAAGCTCGACCTCAGTGACAAAGTCAGAGCCAGAGGAGCCACCAGTAGGTTCACATCCTCAAAGGGTGGTACCTTTTCACCATTTGGGGCAATTAAAATTGAGCCATGACTAACAATTAGAAGAGATGACATTACACTGGTTGTCCTTTGCATGAATGGTCAGTCATGAGTACAGAAAATAAGAGACATTTACAGTCTAGTGTAATACTCTGTGCTCCCTCTTTTATACGATTAAAAATGAATCTCTCTTTATACCAATACAGTACATGTTCTGCTTTTTATTTAGAGCTGCTAGATGCCAGCTACCTTCTGTGGACAGCCTGAGAATCTAATTTTACACAATTTTAAAGTTATTGAACTAGACTTGGTGTTACCATACACACAGTCTTTTGTTTCCACTAATTAATTTTAACACCACAGGCATTAATCATTTGCCCAGCAAATGAAAATTGCTTTAAGATGACTCATGTGTTTTACAACATTGCAAACCCAACCCTTACGCTCTTGGAATGTACAGTAAAGAGGAAGTATTAGAGCAAATCAGTTAATAAAAAGAAAATTCTTCCACATCCCAATTCCACAGTCATGAAGAGTTTTAGAATTTCTACTGGATGCTACATGAGAAAAGTAAATTAAAACTGGTTAGAGAGATGGTCTCCGAATAATTTCCATGGTGAACTGGCAGATATGAACACATGAGCGAGATCTCTCTTGAAAATAAGCACATCGAGTTTCAGTCTACACAGAGGCCCACTGCAAACTCTGTGCAGTGCCAATTAGCATTAACTGTGGCTGTGCTCATCTATTCCCACAGCACGTTGCTGGGTAAGGCCAGGCTCTGCATTTACAAATGCAGCATGCAATGCTCAGAGTTAGAAGAGCATTCTAAAATGTAATCGTCCATGGTCAATCTTTTTCCCTTTGGCTTCGAATGGCAGACTCACAAATGACAAGGGGTATTTAAAACAATATATGTGTGTATTTTTAAAAGTTTAGATCCAGATTCTGCATTCAGAATATCTGGAAGGCGAGTGGAAAATTTGTTTTTAGACTACACTTTTAGCCTACCACAACTAACTTGACACACACATATACACAAAGAGCATATGCTCTGGGATCCAATATAATTATTTACTTACTGTGACTAATACGACTTACTTAGAAGGTAAGCTCCGTAGACTTTCATGGCAAACACTGCCTCTGCAAACAGCCTCCCACCACAGGCTGGGCTATGTCTTGTGCAGAAATACAGTGTGTGCAGCTCAGCTCATCTCTCCGTGGAGTACAGTCTCAGAGTGGGGTATCCATGGAGACCGAGCCTCCTACTTGTGCAGGGCAAGGAAGTTACTCCGCTGGGCACCATAGCAACAGGAGGCAGAGGGGAGCTTGGCCAATCAGGGAAGAGCACAGGAGCTTCTCCCTGGTGACTGCAGCATTTCAAATGAAACCATCGCCCTCATGAATGAACACAAAGCATTTAAGGAAACATCAAATTGTCAAACAGAAGTAAATGCGTACACAACAGTCAAGGCTAATCCTTTGACAATTACGGAGCAACACTGTGAGTCTTTCTACAATGATTAAATCCCAAAGATCAAGGAAGAAATTACATCCAAACCCCACACAGTCCTACATTTAATGGCAAGCATGTGATGCTTTGAGGAAAATACTTGGTGTACTTCACGAATTCCAGCTATTTAAATATGCAAGGCACTTCACAGTGCTTCCCAGGAGACAGGAACAGGAGACATCCATTGTTCTGATGGGGGAGAATGGAGTCGAGCGCTCCCCAGGAAAACTGTTGGCATAGCGCTTCCAAACAGGAGTTTGCTTAGAGTAATAAGCACGTTTATCAAGCTTCCAGCAAAGCCCTCCATTGTATCAGAATAATTCTAACTAAGAAGGCATCCATGATAAAACAGGGCCAATGCAGACAAGATGGTGAGTGAACATTCAAATGCCTTAAAGCTGTGCTATTTGTAAACTCTCTTCATTTCTCATTTAATCATGGTAACGATCATTTATTGAGCACATACTGTAGACTAGGCAAATACTGTAACTAGAAACACAACTTCTTACCAGATGCAGACTCTGATTTTGCAAAGATACAGGATGTGCATGTTTACTTCTTAGTGCTGTGCAGTATTTACTCCACGCATATACAGCCTATCTCATTTTATTGCGCTTTGCTTTATTGCACTTTACAGACATTGTGTTTTTTTTACAAACTGAAGGCATATGGGAACCCTGAGTTGTCAGATGATGATTTGCATTTGATAGCATAAAGTATTTTTAAATTAAGATATGTATATTTTTTAGACATAATGCTATTGCACATTTACTAGACTACAGTACAGTGTAAATATAACTTTTATATACTCCGGGAAACCAAAAAATTCATGTGACTCACTTTATCACAATATTCACCTTACTGCAGTGGTCTGGAACCAACCCACAGTATCTCTAAGGTAGGCCTGTACTCTGTTATATACTTAACATATTTTACGATTCTCACAGCAACCTGAGAAGGATAAGCATTAATTGTTCCTCCATATTATACAAAAAAAGAGAAAACATTTCCTTATGTTTACAAAAGAAACTCTCCTGCCCACTGACTCCCCCTCCCCTCACTGCTGGGCAGGTGACCTGGTCCACCCTATTCAATGTCTAAATACAAGGTGAGGTACCTTCCTCCTTATATTAAAGTTGTTCCAAAGCCTCTTATTATAGAGCTCTCTCTTATAATTACCTTCTCTGAACAAAAAGTGTCATCTGAAAAAGATACATCAGTCTGAATTGACCTCAGTCGGTGCTAGTTTGGGCCGCCTTCAGAGATCAACTGATGGGATTGTTTAAAATGAAGAAGGCCAAGAAATTCAAAACCAGATTTTGTAATTATTCCTGTCATATGACTCCTCCAACCTTTTAAAGATCAATTTAAATAGCAATAGTCAACGGTTAAGTTGTAGAGACTGAAAAACATATTCTTTGCTAACTAAACTCAGGAACTGAATAGCTTTGGGTAGTGACGGATACTTACATTGCATCTACAGGAAAACAGAAAAACCAGCTGTCCCGTGCTATCCATGGATGTTGTGACAGCCTGCTCTTTGCCCTCCAATGTCCACCTCATTCTCCCCTTCTTCCATAATAATAGGTGCCCAGGTGACTAAGATGTCCTGGGATATAATTGGAAACGACACGTGTCACTTCTGTGCTCTGACCTTAAAATGACTGGGTGAGTATCCCCCGGTCCCTCTCCCCCTTCCTTCTGCCTGGTATAGGACAGCTGACCTGACACAGCTGCCTACCAGCCTCGGTCAACCAAACACTTATGTACTGTTTTATGAGACAGATCAACTCCTGTCTAATTTTAACCTCTGGATTTGGGGGCGTCTTTTTACATTAACTTAACTCATACCCTCACAGTACTTGTAGGCTTGAAAACAATACCCAATAAAAGCACCAGACATGACTTCGAAACTGCTTTATATTAAACAAATTGGGCAGCAGTGAAGATAATTTGCTCTGGAAAAGACGGCTGAGTTGAAAGGTAGCTCGAACGATAAGCAAGACAATAAATTTTTATATTAACTATGAATAACAAGATCAATGTTACTAAATTAATAAGAGTATAAATTGGTATATTTAACTAAAAAAAATAAATTTAAAGAACCTATCGGATATTGACTGTTTCATCCATCTCTAAAGGTTTACTCCAGTTAGCAAATAAAATAAAACATTTTTAATCTCATTAGGAAAATGCAGGGCCTTATATTCTGTCATATAACTGTTTCCCTACACTTTGCTATTTTCACTGCCTTCTCATTAATGTACCTGCTTCCAGTTTCATCTCTTGATAATCCGAGTTCCACAGAGCAGCCAAAAGGATCTTGAACATATACATTAAATCGTCTCTCTTAAAACCGGCCAGAGGTTCCCATTGCTCTAAAGACACAAACCTCACCTGCGACAACTCTCCTCCCTTCCTAGGTCACTGCTCTGCCCACTGCCCCCCAAACCCTCCCCAAATGTGAAGGAATATGACTAAGTTCTCAGCTCAACTGTCATCTCCCCATACACTCCCTGCCCCATGCCCATGACTGTCTATAGCATTACCTTGTTTTCCTTGTCACTATCTGAACTTATCTTGTTTGTCTGCTTGTGTGTGTATCAGCCATCTCCCCATGTTAAAGGCAGGCTCCAAAAGAATAGGCATCTTTTCCCTTTTTTCCACTCCTCTATCCCGAATGCCTGGAACAGTGGTGTCAGCACAGCGTAAATGCTTCATAAACACTTGTTGAGTGAATGAATGAAAGCTGGTCAGTCAATGTATAGCCAGGATTCAAACTGAGGTTTAGCAGAAACCTTACACGTGGTGAAGTGAGGGTTGCCGTCCTTCAGACTCCTACACAGTGATCACCTTCCTGCAATGCCACACTCTAATCCATGCATCTTGGAATGTAAGCCCATTGCAACCAGCTTCCTGAAGCTTACCTCACTTAACCATGGGCTGCATTCACGTAGCTTGCTGCTGTCCCTTGGCTGCTCTCAGATACAGCTTCAGGTGGTAGTAGACCTTAATTCACTGAATTACCCAAATGAACTTACACGACTTTTGCTCAACACGTAACTTTTGTCAATAACCCTATAGTCCACCCAAATGCCACACAACAGATTATACTGGCGAGGAAGAAAGAGAGGTCAGAGTACTTATCCCTCTGCCTCCTTTCTTGTCAGGTGCTTTGTTCCTCTACCAAAGTACACGGTTCTCTCACATGTAGCCTGGGAATTCTCTCCCTCTGGGTCCTGGGTATCTCGACCTTCCTCTGGCCTCTGGCCTCTTCAGGATGGGGGAAGGGCTCCAAGCCATTACCATTGCCATACTTGTTGGATTTCCTTAATCAGGCCCATTCCTGTGTATGCAGTGTCTTCAATAAACTCTTCTCAATTAGGACAAAAAAAAAAAAAAAAAAAGCCCAACCTAAAGAATGTATCTGCATGATTTATAACTCTTAGTTTATAGGTTTGTGTGTAAAAGAAGTTTCCAGGTTTATTTCTCTTATGCTGGTAGTTGATAAATATCTTTAATGGTGGGTGTGTGGTCTGCTGGAGTGTCTGCTACGTATGAGAGACCCATAATGCTTCGTTCTTAACACATTAGAGCACTTAGCATCTGGCAGGCTCTCACACCGGTAGCTAGAACACTGTACATGCAATAAATCCTCGTAGACCTGGGATCTGGATGGCAGGGCCTCTGGGAAGAAGAAGATTATAATTCACTAATTCTTAGGGAAAAACCATTAGCAGACCATTTGGCACCGTTACATTGATTGGGTGCATCATCAAAAGCACAGATGGGAGAAAGGCATGAGAGTAAATATGTAAGTAATCCTGCCATAAAGATAAATACTCAGGTCTCCTCATCATATTTAAGCTTTTTTTCACTGGTCTGGTCTCTGCTGGGGGGAAGGGATAGACTATAAAATAGTTCACCATAAAACATTCTCTGCTGTATCCTGGGGGAACGTTGTTTCTCTCAGAGTGAAAGAAAGTTTCAGAGATCGATTTCGGTATCAGTGCAAAAGCTCTTGTTTAAGTTGACAAAGCCTAATGATCTTTGTTTACGAAAGTATTTTTTTTTTGCGAAAAGTATTAATGACATGCAGGGCAGCACATAAAACATTGTGACAAGTACAGAAAGGACTCGTTCATGATTAAGCAGAAAATCCTGAAGACCTTAACATTTCTTTGATGTTGACATCCTCAGGGTTTATTTTACTGACCTGCATCCAAACAGCCTCCTGTGTTTAACTTTCTGTATTTCATTGAAGTTACACTGAGGTTCACTGATTCTGTTACCAGCAACAGCCAGCATGATCTGTATATGGACTGTATCAGCTAATCTATAGGGCTCTACAGATACTTTTTTAAAATCCCTGTCTTATATCAATACATCTTTCTCAATTGTCACACTCTCCTATTAATTAGGAATAATTAAAATTATTCCTTTGAAGTCAGACCTTAGACGCAGTGCAGTAGTTAAGAGTTAGAAGCAAGACTACCCTGTTTAAAATCCATTTACAAACTGTGTGACCTTGCATGAATTAACCTCTCTATGCCACAGTTTCTCCATCTGTAAAATACGGGAGAATGATTTCACTTTCTCACACTGATATTGGGATTAAATGAGTAAAGTCCTTGGAATTTTGCCTGGGACAGTCAGGGCTCAATAAATATTAGCTAAAACAATTTTTAATCAAACTTCAGAGTCTTGCAAGCCCACAACATTTAATATATTCTTCCAGATATCTTCAGTATCTGAAATAGACTTAAGCGTTTATTTGAGGCTGGGCTTTGCTGCTGGAAGAACTTTGATTGAAACTGTAAGCTATTAGAAAAGTACTGCCCCTTGCCAAAGAATGCAGCATGTTTCCATTTAACCAAAATCTCTTTTAGCACTAAAATTTTAATTTTTCCACTCTATGAAAACATTTCTAAAATGTTCAAGACGTTTTCCTGCCCTCATACACATTATTTTCTGCCAACTCCACCATCACACTGACTCAGTCTGTTTCTGGAACATTAATTATTGCATTAAGTGCTACAAAACATTTAAAGCCTGAAACACTTAGAAGGCCACTACGCTTTTCAGTGGTCTTTTGTTTGCTTTTTCATATTTTCCCATCTCTTTCTTCATTGTCAAGCCAACAGCTGTCAATTAATGCTCTTTTCAGTGCCCTCCTATAGCAAACACTCCCCCCGCCATGTTATGTGAATTGGGAGACATGACCTCCTAGAATTTTTTTTAAATAAACATATAAGTTCTGTGGACAGTTTTAAGGGTTTTCCTGTAAACAAAGTGCAAGGAATTTCTGATATCTATTTTAAGAGCAACAAATGACCATTCTTAACATTTACTAAGGAGTTACTTTGTGCTAGGTCCAATGCTGGGCATTTTACATTCTTTAATCTGTTTAGTTGTCACAATAACCCATTTTACAGATGCTGAATACCAAGTTTCCGGAAGATAACAAGTAGCTGAAGAGTGCACAGTTATAAAGAGGTGGTATGGAACTGTGAACCTAGTACACTGG